TATGAGATAACAGGACACGAATATACCGTATATTATGGACAAAATCCAATTCTTTGCTTTAACCGATAGCGGAGTTTCATCGGGTATTGCATTTAGTTTTGTACTCATTTTCACAATATTTTAATTAATAAATTTACATTAATTTTTAAGTGAATTTAGTTCTAGGACAACTAAAGAACCGGTTATAAACTCAGTAAATAGTAATGTGAATAATATTTCAAAGTTGATGGCAATTTATATTGATATAAAATTACATTATAATTAGTAGAGTATATGATTAGTGCAAATATAATTATCTGTTTGTATTTTAGATTTAATGTACTAAAATTGTTTTTATATAAATGTACTCAAACTATAAACCATGTTGCATTTATATTTGTAAATTGATTTAACGATCCCTTGTAAAGTTTTACAATTTATTTAGTACATTTGAGAGTTAGTTTTAATTAGCTGTGCATAGTTATAGTTAATTTCATTAACATTTAAAACTAAATCAATAAAAGTTACATAAAGTAATCAATATCTACAATGAATGGTGGGTCAAGAATTTCCTCATATACTGGTTGACCAGATCGGGGCACTCCTGAGCCGTCCAATGGGAACAATTGTCAATACAATGGACAGCCAGGTCGTCCACATACCGGTGCGCGGCCGCCATTTTCCACGACAATAGTTGATCCTTTTTGCCTGAAAAATACACTCAAATAAATTGCAAACTATTAAAACTACATGAAATGTCAATACAAATTACCTTAAACAAGAAGTGTTGGTACTTTGATATTGAGATACTTGGGTGGAATGCGAATGGGATACCTGCCGGCCAAATTGGCCCTGTACCAATTCAACGGTGCGGTCAAGCCGTTGTGTTGAAACGTGTATTTGTATGCCTCCATGTGCTCGTCGGCGAGCAGTGGTCGGCCGTCACCCGTGCGGTACAGGTAGTCAAGCATGAAGTAATCGTTGCCCGCGAGGGCCCACTCGGGCAGTGGCGTCGGGAGGCTAAAGAAAAACATATACCACGAGCGCAGATACTGTCGCCAACTCTTCATAAACTTGCGGTACATTAGCGGATGCGGAGCACTCAATACGACCAGTCGGTGGATCAGCTCCGGGTATTTGGCGGCCAATTGCCAGC